AACACTGCAAAATTATCTCGGATAAACCCCGACTTTCCAGCGAAAAATAAACTATGAAACACACCCTCCAAATTTCCCGAGAATTTCGCCGCGGAACTAAATGACACATTGGTATACCAACACTATGAAGAGGAAATCCGGGAAAGTTTCACGCAGCATTTGTTGCGGCGTCATAATATATAAGACGCTTAGTCCGAACTCGGCGTTTTCTTTGATGCGGAGTTTTTTTCGCTCGCTGAGTTGAACATCTGAGTACAACTTTGAGCGTCGCGTGTCTTGTTTCGTGTGCTTTTTTTTTTTTCTTCGTTTCCTCGCCAAAACATTAGGCACTAGCATCAATTTCAGGTCCACACCGCGACCAGAACTAGAGGCCAGAACAGTTCGATCTGACATCCTGCAATTAAAGTGCGTAAAGTTCGGAATTCACATTTTTGTGTTGCTTTTTTTTTTTTTTTTGTGAGATTGCGGCCGAAAATGGGACAGCGAGGGGGAGCAGAAGTCGATCGAAGAATGAGAGGGCCCCGGCGCAGTATATGACCGGTTACGATCGGTAAAACGAAGGAGACGGCGTAGGCGCCAAAATTAAGGAAACCTTCCCGTTTCTTGGGGAATTTTGGAGTCGGGTGATTAGGGTGTCATTACAGGCCTCGTTTCGCTTTCGACCATGTAAGTGAGCAAGCGTGGCATTTTTGCGACGAATTAAAGGGTTCATTCCGGTAATTAAAGGAAATTCGCAAGTTGGAAGGTTGGGATTTGTCGGGGGGGCCGTGGGGTCGACGAAAAGAGGAACTTTCTTTGTCAGCTCGTGTTTGGATTCACAGACATATCGACGACACTAGTTAAATATAGGATCAAACTGCCAGGTTCATCGCTCTGGCTGTGACCATGGTGTTGTGTTAAAATACCTTAGTAGCGCCCTAGCGTTGCAGTCATCAGTACACTTCGTCCTGTCAATCTCCACTGCAGGAGCAGGTTTCCTTGCGTGACAAGTCAAATGGGGTCATTTTGTCACTCATTGATGTGTCACCGCTGTTGAGGCTTCACCAACCACAAAAAAAAAAAACTACAAAAGTTAAAGAAAAGAAAAGAAACGGAAGGCAAAGACGTACAAACACACGTTTCACAGCATGGAAATACGTGAATTTTTGCATCCCCATATTTTCTTCTGTTTGAAACCTTGCATGACTTAGGGCGTGTGCAAGCGTCGTCATAATTTGTCTTTGGAAACGCGGATGATGATGATAATATTTGTGTGGTGCTGCACACACGGTACCTTTGGGAAAACGTACCATATGAAACGGCCTTTATTCATAATAATAATAATAATAAGAATAATGTACTTTATTTCCCATTCTGATTGGTACAAAAAGGGAGGACGTCAGGGCAAAAAGCTGCGGTTGCAGCTTGACGAGGTCCTGGCGCCCTAACGCACACTTTGGCGGGAAAGCAGCATTGGAAACACCACGAAAACAAACACAAAAATGGGCACTAAAACACAATCACGAGAATTCACATTGTTGCACTCAGCTTGAATGCATCAAAACAAATATTTTTAAGGTAGAAGCAAGTTTCACCAGATACAAAAACTCCAGGCACTAAAGGTAAAAATTGTGCTGTCTGTAATATGATTTTTGTCAACATCCGATTTGATGTCCCATAGATGCTGATACCATTACGGATACGTAGCGAGTGTAAATCAAAGAATAATATAAAAGTAATTTAAAACCTGTTGGAAAGACGTCGCGATTCTTTCAAAGGTATTCCTTGGTATTCCGTGTAGAGAGGTTCAAGGCGCCCATTCCCAACGACATGTTCATATTTCAGTTCCTCTATAGCAGTTGCTCATGATCTGCATAAAGCCTTTACAGGTCGATTTGAATTCTAGAGGCCCACTCGGGTGTTGGCGTTCGAGTCTGCCAAGTTCATTAGAGGAAGGTCGGATGCATGCAGAGCGCTGCGGAGATGGTTCACGCAAAGCCTGTACTGACAGGTTGGTTGAAAAGCAATCATCGCTAAGTTTCCGATTTGTCCGCCGCTGGCCTCTGCAAGCCTCGTGCACTCGGAAGTTCTCAATTCAACTTGAGCAGAACTTCCGAACATTGCCGTGCTGCAAACGGCGTGCGTCTGCAACCGTCATCAACCACGTCATGGCGCGCTAGGCCGTATTGAAAATCAAGTGTCTGAAAGGACTTTATTATTATTATTATTATTATTTTCAATGCAACGTTCTTTATTTCACCCGAGCATTTTGCTGTATTGCGCATCAGGGTTTCGGAAGTGACTATGCATTTTGCATTGTTTTCTAACTTTCCACGGACCGTTTTTACTTCTCACCTATTTAGCTGAAATTTGTTGTGCGCTACCATGGCTTCGCGAAGTTGAAAGCGTCGCGTAAAGGCTTCACTTTATGGAGCGAATATACGGCGAAGAACTGTCGAACTTCGGTGCAAGGGCCACTGTTCTTACGCCACGCCCAGAGTGAACACCGCCTTGCGAAACTCGTTGCTTATTTCGCTTCATCGACTCCAGCCTTAAAGGGGCACTGACAGGTCAAAATCTTATTATTATTATTATCTGAAACAATTAAAAACGATGCCTGGACATTACCCTCATAATTCGAAACTTTGGAACTATAATATTTGTTAAGTAAAAAAACAATTTCCTAAAGCCGAATTTGAAGCTCCTGCGCGACCCGGTCCAGCGCAGTGACATCAAATATTGGCTGGTCCAGCAACTCGCTTTCGCTCACGCCTCCGAACCGACCCGAAAGCAGAGGACACATGACCGCTGAAACTCGACGCCGCGCGGCGCTACGCATGACGCACCACCTGGCGATATGCGTCGATATATGTGTGTTCAAGACACATTCACGCAGAAAACCGTCGCGCGACTCACATAGTTTCTGGGCCACCATTGGCACCGAACGTCGAGCGGCTGGCAGTACTTCGCTTTAAAACGCCCTATTTATACCCACAACGTAAATTAAAGTATTCAGATTAAAAACAAAACAAATAAAACCGGCGCAAACGTTCTTGTGCTACCATTATCCTACTATTAAAGCAATAATGTCGAAGAAAACATTACCGCAAAACGTATGTTCCCAACACTAGCAACGCCGTGTTTGCTTTTCTATTCTACCCGATCAAGCTGAAATAGAAAAAAATAAAAAAATCGAAATCTTTTTAATGAATAATTGTGTAGACTGTACAAACATTCATTTAAAATTTCAAAGCTAGCGCAAATCGCTTGTATGACACGCGACCAGTTCTTATGAGACGGTGCTTTCGTTCGAAATTACACGGAGGTGCTTTATTGACTTTATGCCAAGGAAGTCACACCGAATGCAATAATTGTCAGGTGTCATCACCGTTACATTGAAATGAACAGTGACAAAGCGTTATCCCCGAGATTCATAAAAATTATGCATGAGAGTAAATACCTACCAACGCAGTCCAAAATACCAACCCAGCAGAGCAATTCCGAAACACACAACACGTTTCTTCGTCTCCCGGCGGCATCGAATGGCTGGCTCGACAAACCTGACGACGCCAAAGGTCTTTTCTGTACAAAATGCACCGTCTCGGCATCCTTCCTACACCCCTCGTGTTAACTCCTTAATCGGTAGTCGTAGTAACATTCCGGTTAACAGATTTCCCATCTTGAACTCAAACTACCAACACCAAAGCAATCTCGCTCGGAGTCATACCGCCGGTTCTAGGCACCATCGTTGTTGTTCGAGAAGACCCGCCTGTTGCTAGTTGAGATGGTGATTTCACACTTTCCGTGTCACCCCTGGGAGTTCGAATAACTTCGCAGACGACTAGAACGTTCTCACGAAAACGTTGGAGACGCACACAGCACCGAACCGATCAAACAAACGGTCGCCATATTTGCTTTTGCGCCGCTCGCCGCTAGGCGCACCGCGCGCACATATCTGGCCGACCAGTGGCCCTAATCTGGACACATGGCGAAAAATTTAGTGAGAAACCTGGCGGCCGTGATTAGCCAACGCCGCACTTGACCTTGGCGCCAATCAATCAGAGCCTCCGGATTTCTCGCCGACTTTTTCGCCAAGTGAAGCGGTGCCGGGCTGCGCGGCGCGTACGTCACAGCGACGTAAGGACGCCTGCACCTGTTGCTATGGATACTGCCGCGCGGCGCCCGTTTTCATCGCTCATGTGTCCCCTGCTGAAGTGTCGTGTTCGCCCGGGTCCCGCGATCAACCGCTTACGTGCTGCCTATCGCTGTGAGCAGGCCACACTTCTCTTTCGAGTGTGAAGTTCTTTTAGGGCTCTTTCAGCATCCTCAAATTCTTTGAAACGGTGTGCAGTGGAAAAGAACGCGCAGTGGACTTTTGTGAGCGACGCGAGGCGCCACGCCGCGCCGGTTCTGCTTGTAAGCTGCCCTGGCGGAGTCACAACCGACACTACGGTACACAGACACCAAACCCAGTTGTTCTGACCGTTTGACGATTTCCTTTTCGAAGTCTGAGAGGGCGTCAGGCACCTAAACGAGAGAACTTCGTCCGATTCCCCGACTCACGGATCATCCTCAGTGCTACATGCGTCGATCCCCGCCGTGTTTTCCGAGGGCGGAAAAAAAGCCAGTTGGCGACATTACTCCGGACTCCGATTTTCGGTGTTTCAAAAAGGGCCGTAGTGCGTTCGCAATTGCGTTAAAAAAATATGTTTTACGTATGCTATTATTAAATATTACAGAAATGTCGCATACAAAGCTTCTAAATTTCATAATATTTGACATCACAAATAAAAAGAAGCGAGGAGGTGGGAAGCGGAAGAGAAAGGCGCCTAAAATAAAAAGGTGCGCGCGCGTGGAATAACGTTTTTTTCGCGTTTTTTTTTTTTTTTGTGTGTCTTTGACTTTAACTTGCATCGTTTTAGACAACAAACAAAAAAATGACCTTTGGGGTTTCAGTGCCCCTTTAAGTGTGAACATGGAATTGTGGGGCTGACAAAGACGTTCCCCTTTTGTCTTTGCAGAACTGCCCGACCGTCATGACGTAACTGAGCCATGGAAGCCCCCCAGCGCAGCATGGACACGGGCCAGCAGCCACCTGTAGTGGCCAGCATGACCCCGGAAGATTGTCCAGCGTCCGCCGCCGAGCGCGGCGACAAGTCGGCCGACGGCGGCAGCCCCCCGAGCCAACAGTTCAAAGAGGACCCGGCCGACGCGTCGGATCAGAGCTCATCGCTGAGCGATGTGGAGACGTTCACGGGCAAGATCGTATATAACCCGGACGGGTCTGCCTTCATCATCGAGACTGCGACCGCGGGGGACTCTGATGGGGTCAGCGACGAGGACTGCAGCCTGGATCTGCCCCACCAGGAGGGTAGCATCGTGGACGGGCCGGGCGTCACACCACCACCGGTCATCCCGCAAGTGGTGAACGCGTTTCACATATCGCGGAACCCGGCCCTATACAGCGCCCTGTATGGCCAGGCGTACAGCTTGCTCCAGGAAAAGAAAAAGGTACCAGAAGTTCCCATCATGCACAGCTACCGAGTCTTCTCAGTACGGGACCAAAAGGACAGGGAGGACAAGAGCACTGCCGAGGACGACACAGACGAAGCCAGCGATGTCAAAAAGCCCGGCCGGCCAGCCGGGTGGAATAGTCTGCTGAGCAACAGCCTTCCTGTTCTTGATCATCCATCGGTTCCCATCAAGCCGATCCTGATGTGCTTCATCTGCAAGCTGTCCTTCGGTTTCACCAAGTCCTTCGTTGGCCACGCGATCGGGGAGCACGGTATCACGCTCACTGACGAGGAGCGCCACATGATGAATCAGAAGAACATCTCTGCCATCATCCAGGGGGTGGGAAAGGACAAAGAGCCTCTGCTGTCCTTTCTCGAGCCCCTCCCCGCGCAGGGGTCCAGCAGCCCTTGCGGTGGCAAGTTCCATCCCAAAACACCCGTCGCCAGTAGCTCATCTTCAAGTTCCGTAGTACCGGCCGAGGCTGGAGTCGGGCCACTCCAAAGTGCCAACACCAATGGTCCGAACGCCATGTTCTCCCAAAGCACCTGCAAGAGCCCCCAAGCACCGGTGCTGTCACCGCCTGCCTCATCGGACGTCAGTCATCGGCAAGACGAGACGCTAGCGCCCGAGCTCGAGGACTTGGCCAACATCGAGAAGATCGCCAAGGCGGCTGCGGCTGCTGCGGCTGTCGTTGAGAACCCACCCGTCACGACAACGTCAACGGCGGCAATGGCGGTTGCAGCGGCGGCGGCAGCGGCAGCAGCGGCAGCGGCGGAAGTGGCAGGTCTGCCGCCACCCAGCAGTGGCGACCTCCTACCGCGAACGTCGCCGTCATCAATGGACCGGCCCACGAGCGCGGGGAGCTCGTCGTCCCCGGGCGTGTCGCCGAAACTGATCCCGGGCCCGCAGGCCACGTTTATGAACGCGTGTCCGTCGCCCGTGGTGTCCTGCCCACAACATCCAGATGGGAAGACGAATGGTGTTGAGTGCCCCAAGTGTGACACTGTTCTTGGCTCGTCACGGTCTTTGGGTGGCCACATGACGATGATGCACTCGCGTAACTCGTGCAAGACGCTGAAGTGCCCAAAGTGCAACTGGCACTACAAGTACCAAGAGACCCTAGAGATCCACATGAAGGAAAAACATCCAGAAAACGAGCTTAACTGCATTTACTGCCTGACGAGTCAACCGCATCCGCGGCTAGCTCGGGGCGAGACGTACACGTGCGGCTACAAGCCATACCGCTGCGAGGTCTGCAACTACTCGACGACCACCAAGGGCAACCTGAGCATCCACATGCAGTCCGACAAGCACATCAACAACATCCAGGAGCTCCAGAACGGCAACTTGCAGGCCACTCCCGAGCAGCTCCTCCAGCAGCAGCAGCCGCCGCAGCAGCAGCAGCCTCCGGCCTTGCCGGAGGCCGTCAAGAAGCCCGGGCCAGCGGCCAAACCCAAGGCGACGTGGCGGTGCGACGTGTGCAATTACGAGACAAACGTGGCGCGGAACCTGCGCATCCACATGACCAGCGAGAAGCACACGCACAACATGATGGTCCTGCAGCAGAACGTGAAGCACATGCAGCAGCTGAGCGCTCTGCAGCAGGCCCAGGCCCTGGACCCGCTGTTCCAGTTCCACCCGGGCCTCTTGCTGCCCTGCGACGGCCAGCTGCAACCGGAGGCGGCGCTCGCGGACATGGCTTACAACCATGCCTTGCTCATGATGGCCTCCCAGCAGCACCAGCAGCAGCAGGCCCTGGCCGCGGCCGCCGCAGGCTCACCGCTCGCCTCCCCGACCATGGACATGGAGCATCCGGACCCAACGCTGCGCCTGGAGCTCTCAACCGACGACACGTCGCAGCTGTTCCAATGCTGTGTCTGCGGTTTGTTTTCAGTGGACTCGGTGGAGGCCCTCGGCGCCCACTTCCAACAGGACCGCACGCGTCAGCGCGAAGACGAGGTCCTCATGGCGGTGGCCGGCAGTTACGTCTGCAAGCTCTGCTCCTACAAGACAAACCTGAGGGCCAACTTCCAGCTCCACTGCAAAACGGACAAGCACCTGCAGAGGCTGCAGCACGTGAATCACATCAAGGAGGGCGGCCCGCGCAACGACTGGAAGCTCAAGTACGTCAACGTCAGCAATCCCGTCCAGGTGCGCTGCAACGCGTGCGACTACTACACCAACTCGGTGCATAAGCTCCAGCTGCACGCGGCCAGCGCCAGACACGACCTAGCCGCCAGGCTCTTCCTCTTCCTCGTGGCGGCCGAAGGCGCGCTCCGGGGCGACGCGGCGCGCCACTACCAGTGCACCGCGTGCGGCTTCCATTCGCGCACACGCAGCGGCCTTGTGGGCCATGCGCACTCGCTGCGTCACCTGCAGCATGCACGTCCCAAGGACGAAGCGGCCGACACCTGGAAGGACCTCTTCGTCGTCAAGGAGTTCGCGGGCAACGAGCACGTCAGCTTCGACGTCGACCTCGGTGAGTTTTACTCTAGTTTTCACAATCACTTATTGGCGTGCCCCTTTACAATTGTTGTTTGTACTTTGTCTTACTCTTCTTTATTTTCTACTGCAGAAAACAAAGGTACGGAAGCAATGGAAATGGACCTACCGCCACCAGTATTATCTCTGGAAGACCACGAATCAGTCACCAAGTCAGGAGGTCCGTCAAGTCCAAGTCCAATGCTAAAGCAAGCCTTGCTCGAAAACGCCGCCAAAGCCGAAGCTTCCGCTAGCTCCCAGTGTTCTGAAGAAGAGAAGGCCAACGAAGGGCAGGCCTGCAATATGTGCAGTTTTTCTGCGAAGAACCAGGCGCTGCTACAGGCGCATGTCGTGTCCCAGCATTCCTCCCAGCAGCAAGCACAACAGCCTAAGTCGGTGCAGTGTCCGCTCTGCCAGGAGCAGTTCAAAGAGCTCAACAAAATTGAATCCCACCTCGTTGAGACCCACAATGTGACATCAGAAGGGATGCAGCGGCTTCTCGCCCTTGTCGACACATCGGTATGGGCGACGGCAACGACCTCGTCGAAACGAAGCAAATCTCGAGCTTCAAGTCACGCAGCAGTACACGGAGGAACCGAAGACTCTGATAGCGCTGACGCCGACTGCCACGCTAGTGATTCCGAAAGCAAGGATAAGACAGCATCTGACGACACCTTGTGCGCGGAGGATCTCACTTGCAGTGCGTGCGGAAAAAGCTTCGGCGTTTTAGAGGATTTGTTCAGTCACCAGATCGACACAGGCCACTTGGAACTGAAGCAAACTCCTCGGGGACCCGGTTACTTGTGCTGGAAGAAAGCGTGCAACCAGTACTTCATGACGCCGCATGCTGTCCAGGTACATTTCAAGGAGATCCATTCCAAGAAAACGCAGCAGCAGCAACAGCACCAATTGGCGGTGTCCGAGCGTCACGTGTACAAGTACAGGTGCAACCAGTGCAGTCTGGCCTTCAAGACGCTGGAGAAGTTGCAGCTCCACTCCCAGTACCATGTGATCCGAGCGGCCACACAGTGCGTCCTCTGCGGACGGAGCTTTCGCTCTGTCGCTGCACTCCAGAAACACGTGGAGACGTCGCACATCGACATGACGCCGGAAGAACTGGAGCAGTACAAGGCCAGCTTAGTCAACAACCCCTTGCTCACCAGTGGTGGTGGTGCTGTGTTAGATCCACAAACAACTGAATTGCTCAAGAAGGAAAGCAACCGGGAAGAGGACGGCGTGTTGGACGAATTGATGGACACAGACGATGTAGCACATCTGAACGACAACGACAGTGGCGTTGAAGCAATGGACACGGGTCTAGCAGCTTTGACCGAGGGTGCTACTTTCAAAGAGCAGTTCTTTGAGGATTATATCAACAGCCAGGCTATTGCTGAAGATAGTTACAACGATCCCACTCGTAAATACAAGTGTCATCGCTGCAAAGTAGCATTTACACGCCAGAGCTACCTCACAAGTCACAACAAGACATTTCTCCACCGGAAGGAAGAGAAGCTTAGCTATCCGATGGAGAAATACTTGGATCCAAATCGGCCCTACAAGTGCGACATCTGCAAGGAATCGTTCACACAGAAAAACATTCTGCTGGTTCATTACAACTCAGTGTCTCATCTGCACAAGCTCAAGCTGAGCCTCAAGGATGGAGGTGTTCCCATGCAGACCACTGCAAGTGCAAATACAACGGCGCTTACAATTACACCAAGCAGTAACTGCAGCAATAATGTTGGTACCGTACAGACGATTGTCGCACCCCCACCATCTCCAACTTCCTCCCAGGTCCTGGCGCTGTCACCAACCAATAACAACAACAATGACACTGAGAAGAAACCATTCAAGTGCAACATCTGCAAAGTGGCATATACGCAGTGCTCCACCCTGGACATTCACATGAGGTCTGTGCTCCACCAAACGAGGGCGTCCAAGCTTCATGAACTCGCAATGACCGGGCAGGTTGATTTGAGTACACCCTTGATCGAGAAACCAGAATCCGGTCTGGGGTCTCCATCGGACTCTCACCAAGCATCGCAGCAAAAGTGCTTGTCGGATATGCTCTCTTCAAGCAAACCAACAACACCGAGTCGAGAACCAACATCAAAACATGCAGAACTATCGTCACAGAGTGCTCCATTAGGTGTTTCCGTACCAACAACGTCAGTGTCCGTTAGTGTTTCAACGACCGCTCCCTCTAAAGAACACGCCGAAGTCGGCTGTTTGCACCACACTATGAACTCTACTATGTCACACGTTGGTCAACAACCAGTGCTGCTTTCATCACAAATGGCATCTGCGCAAGGATTGGCCACATGCAATCGATGTAACGCTATCTTCATGTCTCAGGAAGCCCTCGTTCAGCATCAGCAGCTGTACTGCGTGATGTCTTCGGCAACTCAGTCAGCGTCTCCGATGCTTGTGGCGCCGAAGCACCCGGTTCATGGACACCATAACCAGCACCACGCGCCGCAGCAGTTGATGCCGGAGGGCCAGCTGAACAGCCCTCAACTTCAGGCGGCTGCAACGGCGACCCAACAACTGCTTCGACTGAGGTCACCGTACCCGCGCACAAAGCCACCAATGTATAAACATCTCCTCGAGGGTTTTGGATTTGACGTGGTGATGCAGTTCAACGAGTTCAACCAGAAACGTATGCGGAGGGACGCGGAGAAGCGAGAGCAGATTCTCCAACATCAGCAGCAAAAGAAGGAAGATGTGGAGGGGCCAACGTCTCCGAAGGCAGATGCGGTGCAAATAAAAAAAGAGGTGCTGGACAGTGAACCTGAGAAGGAGAACACGATGCCCGAGATCAACCGGTCAGTCTGCAATCTCTGTCAGAAGGAGTTCTCGAGCATTTGGGTACTGAAGGCTCACCGGGAAGAGGTCCACCATGACGTAGTGCCCCTCGACTTCGTGTCCAAGCTTGCAGACGACTTCCGGACGGAGTACGACAAGAAGAATGCGTCGCAGGTTTCCGCAGAGGAGGGTATGCTGGACCTTGCAGGCAGCCAGGCCGCCGGCGGCCAGAACGACCCGGCTGCGCCGGGTACTGCCGCGGCCGCTGCAGCGGCGAATGTTGCCAGTGGCGGTAGCGGCACCCCCGGACAGTCTCCGCAGCTTCCAACACCCGCCTCGGTCACGCCGCCGGTGTCGCTGTCGGTGGCCCCGCAAGTGAGCCAGCAGCAGCAACAACCAGTGTCAGAAGCATCCGCCGTGACGGCCAACCAGATGGCGGCTCAGCTTCAGTTCAACCAGTTGCTAATGAGCATGGGCCTTGGAATGGGGCTGCCCATGGGAATGAACATGCCTTTCGCGGCCGCCATGAACATGCACCCGCCGTTAATCCCCGTGGTGATGCCGCCCCACATGGACCCGCTCATGTCATCCGCCTTCAACCACCCCATGATGCCGGGCGCCATGGACCCCAGCTTCTTCGCGGCCCAGCAGAAGCTGCTTCAGCAACAGCACCAGCAATTGGCCCAGGCGCAGCAACAGGCCCAGCAGCAAAAGCGCGCTAGAACGCGCATCAGCGACGAACAGCTACGCATCCTGCGGGCCTACTTCGACATCAACAACTCCCCCACAGAGGAGCAGCTCATGGAAATGTCCGAGAAGTCCGGGCTGCCTCTCAAGGTCATCAAGCACTGGTTCCGCAATACCCTCTTCAAGGAGCGCCAGCGTAACAAGGACTCGCCGTACAACTTCAACAATCCTCCGTCGACCTACCTCAACCTCGAAGAGTACGAGAAGACGGGAGAGGCCAAGGTGATTGCGCTGTCCGAGAAGAACAACAACGCCGAGGAGAGCAGCACCCCAGTTGCTGCAAAGCCGGCGCCGGTGTCTTCGGCCGGCAAGGAGGCGCCGTCTTCGTCGACGACGTCGTCGGAAACCGTCGTCAAGAAGGAGGTGATTAAAGAGGAGGCCCGCGTTGAGGCGGCCAACACGGACACCCAGGACAGCATTGCGTCGTCTAACACGACGCAGAACGGGGAGGGCGCCCTTTTAACTCCTAAGCTGGAGACCCCGGCTTCTAACACTTCGCAGCACAACAACAGCAGCCTCGCTAAGTTCGAGTTCCTGCGCTCCCTGACGTCTCGGCTGTCCGTGGACCCGCCCCTGGACCTGGCGTCTCCGGTGCATGATGGCATGCTGTTGGGAACGCCACCGCCCCTGCTGGAGCGGTCCTCGAGCACGACGCCCACGCCGATGACGTCGACACCCACGGCCGGATCCTCCGGGAAGCGGGCCAACCGGACCAGGTTCACAGACTACCAGATAAAGGTGCTTCAGGAGTTCTTTGAGACGAACGCCTACCCCAAGGACGACGACCTCGAGTACCTATCCAAGCTTTTGAACTTGAGTCCGCGCGTCATCGTCGTCTGGTTCCAGAATGCCCGCCAGAAGGCCCGCAAAGTGTACGAGAACCAGCCGCCGTCTGCGCCGGAGGACGACGGCTCGGGGAGGTTCCAGAGGACGCCGGGGCTCAACTACCAGTGCAAGAAGTGCCTGCAGGTGTTCCAGCGCTACTACGAGCTGATCAAGCACCAGAAGACTTCCTGCTTCAAGGACGAGAACCCGCTCGCTGTGCAGCTCAAGGCTGCTGCCACCGGCAGTGGAACTGGAGGGGGCAGCGGCAGCGGGGGCGGCGGAAGTGGAGACGACCGCAGCATGGTGAGCGTCTCCAGTCCCGCTTCCCCAAGGACCCCAGAACCCCCCAGTAAGAGCCCCCAGAATGGCTCGTACCGGTGCGACAAGTGCAGTCTGGTGTTCCCACGCTTCGACCTCTGGCGCGAGCACCAGATCGTGCACATCATGAACCCCAACCTGTTCCCCAACTACCCTCCGAACTCTTCGTTTGGCATCCTGCAGTACGAGGGGCAACAACAGCAGCAACATCAGCAGCAGCAACATCAGCAGCAGCAGCCACAGCAGCAGCAGCAGCTTTCACTGCCGTCGCCGCAGCAGCAGCAGTCGTGGAAGCGGAAGCTGGACGACGACCAGCCGCAGCAGCAGCAGCAGCAGCAACAGGACAACAAGGATCCGATGGCGGACCCACCGCGCGACAAGCGGCTCCGGACCACAATCCTTCCCGAACAGCTGGACTACCTGTACCAGAAGTACCAGATGGAGAGCAACCCAAGCCGCAAGATGCTAGAAAATATCGCGCGAGACGTGGGCCTCAAGAAGCGTGTAGTGCAGGTATGGTTCCAAAATACGCGGGCGCGCGAACGGAAAGGTCAGTTCCGGGCGCACCAGCAGGTGATCCACAAGCGGTGTCCCTTCTGCCGAGCCCTCTTCAAAGCCCGCTCGGCACTCGAGTCTCACCTGGCGACTCGGCACGCGGACCTGTACAGCAAGGGCGAGTTGAACATCGACTCGTTTCCGGATGGCGACGCGGACTCCAACCCAGGAACTCCGACCAGCAGCGCTTCCGAGGAGAGCAAGGCCATCTCGCCCTCCGCGGGTTCGGACCTTGTGCACAACACGATGAAGAAGTACTACGAGGATTCGCTTAAGAAGTACCTGGACGAGATGACGGGCGCGCCGACAGACCTCAGTGTCAAGCCCAAGGCCTGCAAGGGAGAAGCCGGTGGCGGCGAGGCCCCCCTGGACCTGAGCAAGCCCCTGCGCCTGGACTCGGATAGGTCCGGTGACCACCTGTCGGTCAGCGAGAAGAGCATGGACCTGAGGATCGGCGTCTCCGACGACGCGCGCTCCGAGACCCACTCCGAGTCTACGGACAACATGGATGGCGACGACTCGTTCTTCGAGTCCAACCCGACCTCGCCCCTGGGGATGCACGGCGGAGGGGGGCAGCAACCGTCACGCCCAGTCTCGGGCTCCGGAAAGAGGTTTCGCACACAGATGACCACCGTCCAGCTCAAGGTGATGAAGTCCATCTTTGCCGACTACAAGACGCCCTCTATGGCAGAGTGCGAGATGCTAGGCCGCGAAATCGGACTGCCCAAGCGGGTCGTCCAGGTGTGGTTTCAGAACGCCCGCGCCAAGGAGAAGAAGTCCAAGCTGGCGTTCGCCAAGACCTTCGGTCAAGAGATGGAGCCTCCCAAGCCCCCGGAGGAGTGCTCCCTCTGCGCCGTTAAGTACAACCACCAGTTCAGCAACACCTCCATGCAGGACCACCTCTTCTCCAAGCGGCACATCGACGCACTGCGCAACCACATCGACAACATCAAGAAGATGACTGACGACAGCAGCACCGACCGGACTGCCGCCGCCGACCACGACAAGCCGCCCAGCCTGGTGCAGCAGCTTCAGATGCTGGGCCAGGGCCTGCCGCCCAGCTTCGCCCTTCCCTCGAGCTCGCCCAAGGACGCCGCCGCGCCGCCGGCCAAGGAGGACCGCAAGGTCGTCGTCGACGAGCCCAAAAAGGAGGACACCTCCCAGGCGCCCCAGGCGCCCCCCCAGGCGCCTCAAGCAGGCGACGCCGGCGCCCTGGTGCCCTACCTGTACGCGGGACTGCCGGGCTACTACCCGGGGATGCCCGGCGCCGCCGCCTTCATCCACCCCACCTTGTTCTCAGGTAGGAACAAGCTATGATGCCGCTCTGGACCCGCTCTCGATCCGACCGCGTACTGCACCGTGCCTCTTCGTATTTATTCTGAGCCCGTATAGGGCTCGACCAGTTCCTAAAGAAGCGCGTGCCCACTGCGGACCCATGGTGTGATGGTGACGGTCGGTGGTTCTCTCCCTGCCTGTAGATAGGCCGCAAGCGCCGCTTGCCACTTTTCCGCGCTCCGCGCAAGTGTTATCTCTCGGCGACTCTGCCGCTTCCGATGGGCTTTGTTGGTCGCCGCTGGCGAGCTTTCATTCTTCGGTTGTACACGTTCTGGAATCGGGTGGATGCATTTATAATTATTACGAAGATATCTGGAATCACGTCAGCGGACGCACAAGTGAACTTGAGTAGATATAAATATATAAATACTGTTTCTCTACTTTTGGGTTCGTTTCTCCTGATGTGAGAGTGTCCTGGCATTTATGCATATTATGACTGCACTCGTTGTTGTTGTGATGGTTACCATATTTGGTAGGGCGCGCCGTCTGTCTGTACAGTATGAACTTGTGTGACAAGTGCTAGTGTTTTTGTCAGTTTATGCATGTAGGTTTTATCCTTTCCCGAAATTTATTTTCTCTAGTTTCGTGTCCCTAGTGCCTTTGTTTTGTTTTCTCTCTGAATGTAGAAGGACTGCTGGATCATGTTCTCCATTTTGTTTGTTGGCACGTAAATCCTGTGCTTTGTCCTAAACTGTTTGGTTGCAAAGCAAGGTGACACAATGAAAGTGCATTTACTACCAAAGTGAGAGTGTTCTTTAAGTCTGCATTTCATTTCTTTCGGTCTGTGTTCACTGTCTCTTATTTTATGGCGTGTGTGACTTCTCTAAGTCGGACTGAAAGCATTTTTTGTTTGATTTTTTTTTGCAATGTTTGCTCTTAAGATATGTGCAAGTTGATGTATGCCTTCTGGTACCTACTTTTTGTTTGTGTCCCATTCTAGGAATTGAATACCAAAATCATTCCTTCCCCAAAGACAACTATACTAGTTTCCTCTCCGACTCCCATTATTATTATTATTATTATTTTATTATAATTATTATTATTATTATTTGTGTCACTGCTAGTGATTCTATTCTGTTTTGTATATATATATATAACGAGTGTTACATGAATAAAATGTGTTTCTGTAAAGCTTTGCTTGTATAGAAAAGCAAAAATAAAGTGTTTCTCTTGTTTTTTACATTACACCTGCCTTCGTTGCTTTATTTCTAACTGTCAGCCTTATTTTAACCTGACAGCTTTTCTTTGGTTTCGTTTTCTGGTATACTTAGGCCCGGTCATTATCTACATCTAAACCGAATAATTGCAAGTCCTAGCTATTTTGAATCGTATGTACACTACGCTTAGGCTGTTGTGTTCGATTAATTTCCAAGTTATAATCTAGTTCCTATACGAGATTTCTGTTAACTGTTTAGAAAGGCATTGTCAACTTCTTCGGAAATGTGATGCAGACAAGTCCACCTTTATGTTACTTTTCGTTTCTGTGCCTTCACACCTTGGTGCCTTTCGAAAGCGGTATTTCGTTGAGCTGTTTAAGAAATACGCCATTACGTTTTCCCTCTAACGATTCGTTCGAAACGGAATTTTGAAGTCCAACGATGTAACCGGTCGCAACACACGCGTTCGAAAAATAATTAAAAACAAAAAAATACAGGGCATTCGCTGATAAAAGCGAACCACGTTTTTTTGTTGTTTTTTTCTTGTTTTTTTTTTTTCTCTAAAATCTAGATATATAGCACCAGACGCTCTGTCTCCATATAAATGTTGCGCCAGCAGGGGGGATAAAACCCAAAAATAGGAAAATTTAGCTTTGTCCGATTCAACATTTAAGAGCATTTTTAGGAAATTTTATTCGGTAAAATGGGCCCGCAGACTATGCGAATACACAAAAACCGAATGGCGTCTGCTGCCAAAGACGGACTCCGTTTTCTTCTTGAAAATTTCAGAAAATCGCTTCCAACATTTTAATCGGACACTGTCAAGTTCTGAAACCTTGATATCGTTTCCTAACTGGTGGCAGCACATTCGGGTGCAAGGGAGTTGAAGGTTGCATTCTCGTGACCCACGAGGTTCGTGCATTCCTGCCTTTAGAATCGAGTTGTTTGGAATGTGAGCGTTTGGCACTGTGTATTTTATCTTTCCGCCGGAAAAAGGAGGTTCACTTTTTCAGCAGACGCCCTGTACTTTTGTGCAAAAAGGATAAACTTTTTTTTTTTTGTTTTGTTTCTCCGACGGGTGGTTCAAGAGGGTAAGACTGTACTACAGAGTCTCAACGAGGTACTAAAACATCTTAATCTCGATAACGTGGAATGGTGACCGTCGTTTCGCTAAGATTCTGTCTAGTTTAGCGAAATGTCGATCATCGGTAGAATATTTGCTCCGTATCTTCTATTCATATTATACTAGGTTTTTAATTCCCTTACCAAAATTATCAACGAGTTTCAATTGAGTTTCTAATGTATTGTTATAGAATACATTAGAAACTCAATTCAAATTCGTTGATTTTTGTAAGGGAATGCACAAATCCGAGTAATGTTCACGCTGCCCCGTTTCCATATTATTCCACCTTTGAAAGGAAATGGCCAAGAAGGTGACTATCACACTCTGGAGATCAAACAAGACTTTCCAACTTAATTATCTTAACTTTTTTTTTTTCTTTTTAGGCTGTGCGAACACTCTAGACCATTGAACTGGAGAAAAAGGACTAATGGTTTTTAAGTTTTAACTCTGCACTCTAAAAAAGCCCGTGCGTCTACTTTCCCGCACAACATTCGGAGAGCCAATCACCGCAACTTACGGAGGCAGCTCAGCGAATGACGATGCCGAAACAAATGTTTAGACCAAAAAACGCCGTCCGAGTTGTGACATCAAGCATTGCAAAACGTCAGGCTTGCATTGCTTAATGTCGCAACTCGGACGGCGTTTTTTTGGTCTAGACATATGTTTCGGCATCGTCATTCGCTGAGCTGCCTCCGTAAGTTGCGGTGATTGGCTCCCCGAGCGTTGTGCGGGAATGTAGACGCACGGGCTTTTTTTAGTGTGTGTTCTGTCCCTTTTTTTGTGTTTCGTTGGTTTCCAGTTTTCGCGCTGTTAGAGTAGAGATTGGATCGGCTGTCCTGTGTCTTTAGTGACCCTACTATTCTCTTTTTTATTTTGCTTAGGGTTAAAGTTTACATACCATTATTCATGTCTCGTTATACCCACACATCAATGTTAGGAGACAAGATATATCAAATGCATGTGGCTTTGGCATGTGTTAGCCGAAGCTGCATGCACGTGCCAAGATGTGCGAGTATGCGTTCTCTATTCTTGGACTTGCAGCATATCTAAGAAGTACCCCCCCCCCCCCCCCCCCCCCCCAATTCGAATTACTGAGTATACTAACAGCGGTCTGTCGCATGTTCGCAGCGTTTGTACGATGCAGCGTGTTTGCAACTGAAGAAAGGAGGTGCAGGTATTTATGCAAACGTGACATTTGCATATATAAGAGGAAAACAATATTCTTGCTATTTTATGAAGATAAGACGAATAGCAATTTCTGAATGCAATAGAAGCAGTGCTTCAAGTGTGCTGGGGCGCATAAAACAAAAATAAACTAAAAAAAAAAAAAGGAAGTTACGGATTCTCATATACCCGTCATCTGGCTATTTTATGCACAACCAGAAATTGGGGAAAGGTATTCGGCTGGCTTCCCACGGTAAAAACCGAAAGACCTCGACTCCTACGCAATCCTCGACTTGAGCATGGTTCCCGGGGCTCAATTCTCTAACGTAATGTGGCATCCTATGATGGCGACAGTCCGTGTTGGCCATGAGAGCATTCAGCCGTTCCGCGACATTCTCTCGCGTCCGTAGCTGTGAGCGCGACTGCTGGGAGCGTGCTGATGCCGAGCTTCCACAGTTATTTTCAACGTGAATTCCGTACCATCACGATTGCCGGCCTTAGCAATCTATTATTGTAAGCTCGTTCTGAGCATGCACTCTAGACTGCACCCACAAAAATGGCGTCCAGTGAATACTCCCTATGTTAACATGGACTTACTGCAAAAGCTATAAGCGCGAGCCATTAGTTTCGATTTGTGCTCCATCTGCACGAACGTCCGTGTAGCCGAGGCACGATCAAGCGCAAGGAGCTCGCGCTTCTATTCTTTGCGGTTACTCGATGGCAAAGTGAGACGACGAGGCATACGAACAGCTGTTTGAAATTGACAACGGGCGTCACTCATAGTGGCCACTGTGCCAAAAGAAACCGGACATTGTCGTCCGTCATTCCGCTCCAGAGGCTAGAAATCAGCCAGCGCTTTACAATTCGAGCTACTTTTATAGAACCTTTTCTCGCACGCCGGAATACAGCCGCTTTAACTGACCTTCTGTTGTCTCGCCGAGATGCCAAGTCACTGAAATCGGTAATGACGAATTCACACAGAGACTGCGCCGAGGTCGAGAACACTATGGTGTCTAAAAAGTCCGTAAGCTGTGGCGCGACAAATGAAGCGAACGAAATGTAAGGAAACAGAGAGATGAAGGTTAGGTATGAGTGGCTGAGCCCATGCATATAGCTGCTGAAAAGCGTCTATTGGCGCTTCTTTGCCGAGCAGTGTCAACACCACCTAGCCTGTAGTCAAAGCCTGTTCAGCGTCACCTCTCTCTTCGTGAATCGCCGTCACATGGCGACGCGCCGACTCGGCGATTGGGCGCCAAGCGTCCGCCAGAACACGGATCGGACACGAGTTTCATCCCAACGCTGACGTAGCGCTCCTGTCCCTCAACGCCCTTGCTTGATCATAGTATACTGGCGCCAGACTTCGAGTGCACAGGCCTTGCTAGTCTGAGTGGTGTTGGCAGTACTCCGTTCCCAGGCGTTCAAGGGGCTGCACCTTCTCAAATACAAGCCGTCTGGGAAGAATGCCGCGTCTCTAGGTGGTGTAGGTATAAGATCAGAAGCACGATTGGTCAAATGCTGCAAACACGCAGCGTTCAGCACGAGAACGTCGTGTCGTTCTGCTGTTTCGCACCGATGGGCCTCCAGCACTAAAGATGTACAAACACCGCCCCGCTGCGGCAATTTAGCAGCCGCACAAGTAGTGAAGAAAAAAAGAGTCGAGAGATAGCTTTAGCTAGCATGTACCGAACCATGAGGGGTGGGACGTGATGCTTTCATGGGGCTGGTGGCGCCGTGGGCAGTGAGTTTGTAACCGCCCCAGGTGTGCAAAACACGTGGCGGGAGACGGTGCTGTGAGGCAGAGTGGCGGCGCCGCCTGTTAAAGCTGGACGCTCACAACCAACCTCGGGGCGTTCAACAGCTTCGGCTCGTGTTTTGGCAGGCGTTGCCATGGACTTCTTGTCGTCTCGTCAATGGAGATTTCGCTAAATTACTGGAACACCAAGAAGTATGATGGGTTTCTAAGTACCTTCGGCACGGAATTAGCTTCGCACGAGCAATTGTCGGTCCGGCGAAAGGGTGACACGTGGCGCTGCACTCCCGCAAACACACCGGGGCAAAGGGGGGGGGGGGGGGGGGGGGGGGGGGGGGGGCGACCGAGATGGCCGGTCAGTTCCAATCTTTACGGCTCGGCGAAGTTCAGCAGTTCCCGAAGCGTGTTTTTAAAGCGCCGGTGCTGTGCCTCGATCAGGCGCAACACTCCCCGTGGTGTTATTTTTTTAAAGCTTATTTTGGAGTACGTCATATCATTTATTTTAAATAATACTTTACCGTCCTTTGCAGGTGCTAAGGCGCTCCACTGGTAAGACTCATATAGAGAAGATGCACGACGCCTTTGTAATAGGACTTTTGTTGTGATCGAGATGGAGCATCGTACCGGCGTGTGGTCGTATATCACTACTGCGTAGTGCACGTTCAAGACCCCGGGCTAGCGGTTGTACTGCACTGGCTAAATTGCTCATCTACAGCTGAGAGAAAAGTCGCCCGTTGGGACAAACTAACTTCAGGCTGTATAAACATACACACAACACAATTGTTGTCACCAAAACGAAGTGACAAGCGAGTGCGGTTCCAAAATTTATTACATAATAGTCTTCTAAAAAAAAACATATTTTCCCTTGAACACATCTTTATTGGCATGTCAACTGGCTAGAGAGGAAAAACCTAGGCGTGACTGAAATTTCGAGTAACATCCAGAAAAGGGAACGGAAATGTGTGCAACTGGAAGAATACATGTCATAAAA